ACTATATACAAATAAATTAGATGAGAGCATAAGATATTATTTTATTGCAAAAAACACGTTGTTGTCAAGGGAAATTAATTTTTTTATTCAAAATATTAGCCATCGTCATTTATATATTTCGCCCATCTCTCAGATTATTTATGAATGCCATTCGTCGAGCCATTTTCCAACTTCCTCGAATTGTTAAAGTGCTGCTCTGCCATTACGTACCACATTAGACGTGAAAAGATGATATTCTGGGGTCTGGGAGTTTTCAAGGTGTATTTTACTGATTTTGCAGTGCGTCCCACACATCGTTTAATAAAATCACTTTCCTGTGTCTTATGACCTATTCCGATCGTCTTTCGATCAATACGCGATTTAGTTTAATCACTCGTTTGCGATAGTGTTGTGAACCGGGCGGGTCACCATAGTCTTTCAACCCATCACTCATTGACTAATCTTTGCATATACTCGTAACAAACATAAATCAAAACCACAATGAAACTATATCTTCACAGGGCGACTGTTTCACGGCTAATCCCCCTGTGACGGCATTAGACGTATCGGATTTGGAGGCGTCAATTTCACGTTTGAGTATTTGGCTGACCATATAACACTGTTTTGAGTATTGCCAAGTACTCATCATCAATGATCTTAGAAAATATTCGTATTTTTAAAGTCCTGTATATAATTTGCAGGACTTCAAATTTTTAAGAATTACTGGACTTGTAAAATGTTTTACATTACTTACTTACTGCTGTCCTTCTCTCCTTGTGAAGCATAGGAGGGCTTCAACATTAATGCGTTACATTAGTGAATATATATCATTCTGTAAATCTGTAACTCCTTCGGTGCAATTTATTTCTGAATACCAAATATAAGTTGCAAGCCGAGCGTATTATTTTTAAGCAGAACAAAATAAAACCCTCTTGCTGTTTGGTGATTCACGGGTTCAATTAAAAAATTTATCATTCACATTATTCTGATTAAATTTCTTATGGACAGTAGGCAGGAAATATTTTTGAATTCTTTGCACATCAAGAAATAAAAAAAATTCAATTAAATTTAAATCGAATATAAACAGTAGTAACAAATGTCCGTAAGAGACATTTAAAAATTAATATAAATTTATTTTCTAGTAATTAAATTTTCAAAAATGGTATGCATTATAAACTTCGAGACGTCTGATAATAAAATTGTTATCTCGGATTTCGATACTTTTCGACAATGTAGAGCTATAAGATCTCAGATTCCTTCAGATAACCTTTGTGAAGAATCTAAGGTCAGAATTAAAATGGAATCAATTAAATCAAAAATAATGAGATTGATTGTTGATTGGTGTCGTCATCATGTTAGAGAAAATTGGTTCGATGTCGAGATTACTGAGATTACTGAATGGGACAAAAGTTACTTTACACTCGACACTTCCACA